CCCCAAAACCCCAAAACCCCAAAACCCCAAAACCCCAGCTGATTTAAACCGCATTGAATTTCTTATTTTTCGACTTCGCTCCTAATCTGCTCGCCAATAGCTTCAAAAGGAACAGAGATTGAATATCTCATTTCAACAGTTCTCTTGTATTTCATGAATTCTTTGTAAGTATCTTCATTTCCATGGTAAATTTCAAACTTATCCCACACATTCCAGAATTTTTCCTGAATCTCTTTAATCTTGGGATTACAGAATTGCGAAAGATGTTGGTAAATGCTCCTTGCTCTATCAATTTCACCCAATTTACGCTCAAGCTTAGCTGACTTCAGTCCGATTTCAATGAAATCGCGACCCTCAAGGAGGTCAAAAGCACGCTCATAAAGAATCTCTCTGGTCTTAGTGATGCCATAAAACTCTGCAGTTTTTGCTATAAAGATGTTGAACACTTCTATTCTGTCCTCTCCTTCAAGCTCTTTGGTAGCTCGGTCATAGATTTCACTTGCATGGTTGATCAAGCCGAAATTTTCTTCAAAGTCTGCGTACATATAGAAGAACAACTTTTTCTAAAGATTAGAGATTGATATTACCTTTTTGTGCTTGCTAGGACATTTTATCAACACTTGATCAAACAAATCCCTTGTTCTCTCTATCTTGGTGTCAGAGTATCTCTCAATGAATTTAGATAGATAAATGACCCATAGATCGTAGCAATGAGGCCAATCGAAGATTGACAAGGATCTTTCATAGATTCTAAAGGACTCTTCAAAGTAATAGTGCCTCTCAAGGAATGCACAATAGTTCAAAATTGTCTGTGGAGAAGCAACTTTTAGATCCATCATCCGTTCATATGCTTTCTTTGCATCCTCAAAGGTACCGAAGTTCTCTTGTAGGTCTACATAGAAGTACCACAGCTTAGTACTGAGATGGAGTGAGTCTTCTCTTTCCTTCTTAACTTTCCCTCTCTTGGAAGACACAGCAGTGTGGAGGATCAATAAAGCGCTTTCGTAATTCTTGTGTCTAAAATGCATCTCAGCCCAGGAGCAGTACACCATTGCTAGCTCATCAATATTCTTAAAGGCCAAACTGATTGCTTTAAGGTAGATTTGGTTTGCATTCTCAAGGTCCCCGTTCTCTTCATAGAATGTAGCGAATTCCACCCATACCTTACCAGCTTTGCCATAAGCTTTAGATGGATCAATCTGATGAATTGCTTCAAGATATGTCTGGATCTTCATCTCATTATTGCCCTCATAAAGCTTAACTCTATTAAGCCACTCATACACATTTGAAGGATTTTGTCTAAGATTAGTATTGGACAACAAAAAGGGTCTTCTTTCCAATAAATTTTCAAGCTTAGATATCTGGTAGTCATCATCTTTACAGTCATCCATCTTGTCTTTATTTATATCTCTCAGTTGGTCTTCATCTTTTCTCTCCTCTATGAGGTTAAGAGATTTATCGATCATTTCGTCTAATTTGTCCTCAAATTCATCATCTCTTTCAGTATGTTCAGCATCATTTGCTATAATGGTCTCTTCGAAGTTGATGTAAGCATCAAAGATTAGTGAGAAATCTCTAGCCGTGACTATGTTTGCCAAGGCTTCTTCAAAAATCTCTCTAGTCTTCTCAAAATTTCCTTTACGAGAGTTATAATCAGCTAAACAGATCCAGAGTCTTCCTACTTCGTCACTATATTTCTTGATCCCATGCCTGATTATTTCTTCAACGTTTTGAATCCTGATTTTATCGGGGTGTTTAGAAATCAGCTCTCAGAGTTGCATCCAGAGCTGGTACTGAGATAATCCCTTCTTGGAGTTGTAATTCTCCTCATCTAGGATTTTAAGATAGACCTCTGCTGCTTCTTGAACATCACCATACTCGAGAAGGATATCGATATATTCTTCGGCAGCATTAGGAGAGAATTTGAGGTACCTTTTATAGACATTTTTAATCATTGTCAAATTTTCAAGTTGCTTCACCCAATCCAAGTACCTGATCCAAATCAAATTATGCTGGGGGAGAGGTAAGGAATTCAATGCTCGGTCATAGGTCTCTCTAGTCTTGCTAATCAGCTTCTGTCTTCCCAAGAATTTGCAATAATCCAACCATATCCTGGGCATTTTGTTCATATAGCTCAATGAATACTCAAAAACGCCGTTAATAATCTCATATCGTTTGCTATGAATGGAGAATCTCTTGCAGTTTTCTTTAGATTCTTGTAAAAAGTTATACCATAGCTTATAACTTCCTGGCAAAAAGTACAAAGATCTGTAATAGAGTTTGGCTCTCTCCTTGTAGTCGTCTGGGTCCAATGCATGGATGGCATTCCACCATGACCTGAAACTGTATGGGTCAGTGATCCCATCCATATGATTCTCAGTGTCTGGAGCTTTGAATAGCCTCTTCAAGTCCACCTCTGGAGCACTCGCTTGATTGATCTCCATTTCCTCGTTTGTAAATTTTTAATAATTTCCAATTATTTGAATGCTTGAGGGGTTTTGGGGTTTTGGGGTTTTGGGGTTTTGGGG